ACACTGCTGGTAGAAACACGAAATTATGTAACAACTTTGGAAAACATTTGGAAATTCCTCAAAAGGTTAAACAGAGATACCATCTGACCCAGTAATTCCACTCTTAAGTATGTAGTTAAGACAAATGAAAATTCATGCTCACAGAAAAAAAAAAATTTAAATGAACATGGGGTTTGGGCTAACTGGGTAGAGTATCTGCCTAGCATGCAAGAAGTTCTGGGTTCAATCTCCAGTACCACATCAAATCAGGTGTGGTGGTACATGCCTATAATCCCAACACTCAAGAGGAAGAGACAGGAGGACCAGGAGTCCATGGACATCCTTAACTATAAAGCTAATTCAGGGCAGCCTGAGTTATACGAAACCTTGCCTCAAAACAAAGAGCCAGCAAGATGGCTCAGTGGGTAAAGGCACTTGTCTCTAAGCCTGATGACCTACATTTAGTCCCGAGAACCAACATGGTAGAAGGAGAGAACTGACTCCCACAAGTTGTCTTCTGACCGCCATACATGCACCATGGCATGCACATGCCCACACATACATACATACATACATACACATATATAAATAAACAAATAAAACAAAATGAACGTGAGTCTTCACAGCAGCATTATTCACACAGACAAGATTGGAAACACTAATAATGTTCAATAACATTTCTGAAAAGAGAAAATGCACCATCACCATGCAACAGAGTATATACATACTACCCATGAATGCCCATGAATGAACCTCAGAAACATTATGCTAGGGGCAGGACTTTCTTTTCCCCCTACAGATAAGAGTTATGCAATTTGGGAGTCTTTTAGATAGACCCATTGAAGGGGTACTCCAATTGCCTCACCCTGTGTCCCTGTTCAGCACGGAAGAAGCGGTCTGCGTCCTGATTCCCTAACCGAAAGTTGGGTAACCTCTTCAGAGAGTAAGAATAGGAGGTAGGTGCCGGGTGTGGTGGCACACACCTTTATTCCCAGCACCACTTGGGGGGCAGAGGCAGGTGGATCTTTGTGAGTTCAAGGCTAGCCTGGTCTACATAGTGAGTTCCAGGACAGCTGGGGCTACAGGGAGACCCTGTCTCAAAAACTTGGCTAGAAGTCAAAATGTCCTTGGGCCTGTTAGCAACATACTCTGTTCCAAAGGCCAAAAATGTCAAAAGTATTTGGGAGCATGTATCTAATCCTTAAAGATTTTAGGGTTACCTCTTCAGAGGAGGGAATGTTAGAGCAGCCAAAAGCCCCATAAAAAATAAAAGAAGAAGAAAGAGTACATGGAAAAAAAAAAAAGAAAGAAACAGAGGATCTTATCAGAAAAGAAGTATTCTCAAGATATGTGAACCAATATTTTAGGACCAACTTCTCTTTTCCAACTGAATCTTTACAGAATTGTAGATAGGACTAGAAGTCCTAGATCTAGCTTGCTATTATCTTTCAGAGTGATTGTATAATGAATACATGTAAATAATTCGGTGTAGAACTTGTTCCATAATATATGTTAAAATATCTGCTTTTACTAAGGAAAAAAAATTCTAAAAAGTCAATGGATGAAGTGGCATGAAACTTTTAAGACAGTACTGATGTTAAATGTACTTGTGAGTGTTCAACTTTTGAATATCTCCACTATAAATAAAGTTTGAGTATGCACCACAAAAAAAAACCCCACTATACTAGGGGCTGAAGTGATGGCTCAGCAGGTAAGACCTCCCACTGCTCTTGCAGAGGACCTGAGCTCAGTTCCTGACAACCCCATTAGGCTGCTCACAACCACCTGCAACTCCAGCTGGAAGGGATCTGACATTCTCTTTTATCTTATATCTCATCCTCTTATATCTGACATCACCTTGATACACATGGCATATCCATACATACACACTAATAAATCTTAGAAAAAGAATAGTCGGGCATGGTGGCACACGCCTTTAATCCCAGCACTTGGGAGGCAGAGGCAGGCAGATCTCTGTGAGTTCAAGGCCAGCCTGGTCTACATAGTGAGTTCCAGGACAGCGGGGGCTATAGGGAGACCCTGTCTCAAAAAGACAAAAAAAAAAAAAAAAAAAAAAAAGAGAGAGAGAGAGAAAGAGAGAGAGAGAGAGAACACCACAACAAAAAAACCATTACACTAAGCACCCAGGTGTGATGGCACATGCCTGAAATCGCAGCATTTAGGATGCTGAGGCAGGAGGATCATGAGTTTGAGTCAGTATGGACTACACAACAAATTCCAAGCCAGCCTGCTGGATAGTATAGCAAGACCCTATCACCCAAAAAAATAATAATAATAAAAAAATAAAAATAAAAACATTATGTTAAGTGAAAGAAGCCAGTCACAGACACAAAGACTCCATGACTGTATGGTTCCATTTATACAAGATGTCCAGAAAAGGCAAATTGCAAAGATATAAAACTGAACATTGATGGGCTGGTGAGACTAACTACAAACAAGCAAAGTAACTTTGGGGAGAAATATCACAGCTGACTGTGGTGATTGTGCAACTCTACTCACTAAAACCTCCATTCACGTTTACAATGGGTCAACTGTACTGTGTATAAATTATACCTCAAAGCTGTTAAAGATAAAATAAGTAAATACAATGAAAGCAAAGCAGGTGTCATTGAATTCAAACTAAGTATTGTTGTGGTGCACGCTGAAAATTCCATAAGGAAGATGGGCCCTCCTATTTAAATGTCTAAAATTTGAGTACCCTTCTCCTTGACATAATTAACAGAAGTGACAGCTATCAGAAAAGACAATCTCATGAAGTTAAATGATCATAGATACACCTACAAGGGACCCCTCCAAATGGTCCCAACATTTCTATAGTTCCAAGGCCCTTTCCACCAGAGTCTAGTCATCCCTAACCTTATAGAATTCTGGGGAGCTTGAAATGTTAAGAACACCAGGCACAGGACTTGGATCCTGAGGCCCCCCACGTTAACTGAAGGACCAGGAGAGATGAACAATGACAGACACAATGTCTATATGGTCACCCAGGATGGTAAGGAACACACTATCATTCCCTACATTTCATCCCCAATACCACACATTTGGAAAAAAAAAAAAAGCCTTTGGACTGGGCAGGCCCAGAATTCTGCAATTTATTGCTGGCAGTCCAGCCAAGCCCATATGGCCAATGGGTTTTACCTGCTGTACCAACACCAACTGATTAGCAACAGCTCACTGGGGTGTTCTGTAATGGATTCTGAGCCATGTCCAGGCTCAGGAGGAGGAGTGTGAGCAATTAGAGCACCTGCTACAGTGGTATCTGAACTAGTGCCTACACATGTCATGTATTGTTTTATCCAATTGCCTAAGTGAAGGGATGTCAAGAATGCTCAGGACCTAGGTGATGCCACACTAAGCTTTCTGACATACCACTACCAACTACAGTTAGAGTCTCGGCCAATCACCCAGTCAGTTCCTTTCAAGCAGTTGGAGTGGCTAACATTTGCAGAGGATTTCTTATGTGCTTGGCATAGTTCTGAGTGTTATTAAGGTAACAGCCCATTTGATAGATGAGAAAACTGAGATACAAGTAAACAACTCAACCAAAGCCACTCAGCAAATGACAGACAGGGACAACTTCAGAGGAGAGGATAAGTACAAATAAGTGCTCATTTAGATCTAGGGGTATCAGTCCTCAGAGTCTGCACTGGAACCTCTGGGGTCTACAGTCCCATCCAGGACGGGCTGCCCTGTCCTGTACCTGAGATACAGGCAGATACTGATGACGAGTGACTCCATCCAGTTCTGACTGCCACTAAACAGTCTGTTTCTTGTTCTGGCATCCTGGTAGCCCCCAGATTCTCATCTTTCAGTTAAGACAAAATACTCTCTCAAACTTGAGTGGACATCAGACATGCCTAGGGAATGGGTTTAAAATACAGGTCCCTAAACCTCAGCAGGCTTTGAAGCAGGACCTGAGATGTTTTACAAGCTGTCCAACAAGTAAGAGCAGGTGCCTCTGGACCACACTCAAAGCAAATTTGGTTGATCTGAAAACACCTGAAGACCAAAAAGCAGATTGGGCACTCATGACAGAATCTAAGGGCCCCATTTGGATGTCCAAAATAGGGAGATTCTCTCTTTCACCATTAAATGACCCCACCAGGAAACAGAAAGTGAAGAACTGGAGCTCAGGACTGAAAACACAACTCAACTGGGAGAGTGCTAGTCAAACATGCACAAGGCCCTGAGTTCAATACCCAGCAAAGCATAAAACTAGGCACAGTGGCACACACCTGTAATCCCAGCAATCCAGAGGCGGAAACAGAAGGATCAGAAGTTCGGTGTCATCCTTTGCTACATAATGAGTTTGAAGTCAGCCTGGACTACATGAAACCCCGCCAGAGACAGAGACAGAGACAGACAGACAGACAGACAGACAGACACACACACACACACACACACACACACACACACACACACACAGACTGAGAGGCTGGCTCCTCTGGGAGCTCACACTTAATGCTGGATTCCACTGTGCCTCCACCCAGCTCCCACAACCTAACAGGGTCGTTCAGACAGGAACCAGAATGGGGAGGGGCCAATAGTCCTCTCCGACAATTCCCAATCCTCCCAGCAGGAGCCCGGTCCCTCCCATCAATCATAATCTCTCTGGGCCAGACACCAGTACCCCCAACCCGCCCACCAGGAGTAAAGTCGGTCCAGATCCAACAGTTATCGCAAACCAGGGCCAGGTTTTCACGCCTCTTTAGTCTGCGATCCCCAGCTTCGTGAAGGCAGTCCTCACATGCATTCGCTAATCACCAGCGATGCCAGGCCCCAGTGCATCCAGAGGCCGTGCAAAGTGACTGGCCCAAGGTCACCAGAGAGGAAGGGGCCACGCAGGGTGCGACTCCGGCCAGTTCAGCCAGGTCCGCTGCCACGCCTCGGGCTCCGCGGTGACCACGGAGGACCCCGGGAGGAGGGCCTGCGGCCCCGCAGGGATCTCTCTCCTCTCCTCGCCGCCCCGCGCCTCGCCATCCGCGCCCCCGCCAGCTCACCGGACTTCGGGGGGTAGCGATAGGCCGAATTGGCCTGGATGTCGATGTCCTCCACGCCCGCTATGCGACGACTCAGGATGGACCCCATGGTGCGCGGCGGCCGGTCTGGCCGGACGACTGGGTGACGACAGCGTCCTCACACTGACATGGCCCTGACCAGGCCGCAGGACGCGCGTCCGCAGGCCCCGCGGCGCCTCCACGAAGCCCCCGCCCCCAGCCGCCCGGCCCACTCGCGGCGCCCCGCCCCGCCCCGCCCCTGCCCCGCGGCTCCCGGGGAAATGGAGTCCGGTCCAGCCAGCACGCCACACCACGGTGCGCCTGCGCACTACACTTCGCAAGATGCCCCTCACGTGAGGCCGCTGCGGGAAGAACCAAGAGGCCCAGGCCGCGGGGGAGGCCGCCCTTAGCTCCTCCGCCCTCCGCCCTGCTGGATGCTGACCCTGGAGTGCCTCAGCGCCTTCATCATCTGACCCTTCTGGAAGCCCTAGGGCCTCGCGTCTGAACCAAATCTAAAACATCTCCCCGAGCAACAGTGGCTTTCCTCACTTCCCAAGGTCCTTCTCCAGCCTTGGCCAGCAGAGGTCACACGTTTTACATGCCACCACCATGGTGACCCCAAGCTCAGAGGAATCCGGTACCTGTTGAGCCTTGGCCCAAACCCAAAACATCACTTTGAACCCCATGACTAGACGTTTACTATGAATGCATAATTTTACAGCCTTGGCAGAAGACAGTAGACTTATCCATATTTTACACATAGGGAAAGGGAGGCACAAAGTAGTAATGTGCTGAAAGCTAGGTTGAAAAAATTAGGGTTGTGATAGCAACATCGAAATTTGCAAGGTATTTTCTGGCTTTTGACTCAGGCACACCTCTGTGAGGTTGCCAAAAGGGATCTGATTTATGCTTTTCAATTGAGCTGAGATTCATTTTTTCTGAGCTGGGTTTCTTATGTTTCCCAAGCCTTCTGTACCAAGACAGCAGCTAGGAAGACCAGGAGCAGGCTAAGGGTGTCTGATGGTAAATTCACCATAGTCCACAATAAAATACCCTACACCTTTCAGTGGTCAGAACCCAGGATCTAACAGCCTTCATTGTCAGGGAATCTTAGAAGGCCAAAATAAGATGACTGAAGTGTGACTATGAAGAGAGTCCAGGTCTCAGTGTAAACTGAGCACATCTTCCTGCCCTCGAAGAGCTACATTTGGTGGACTGGAGAGATGGCTCAATGATTTTACTGCTCTTCCAGAGGAGTCACATGGCAGCTAACACTTGTCCTTAGCTCAGTTTCCATAGGATCCAATGCCCTCTTCTGGCCTCAGCCAGCACCAGGAACACAATTGGGGCACTTACATACATGCAGGCAAAACACTCATACACATAAATTAAAAATAAATGTTTTTTTCTTAATCTGCATTTGTTAAGCACTTTTTTTTTTTAAGGGTTTTTGTTGTTGCTGCTGCTTGAGACAGGGTCTTCCTGTAGCTCCAGTTGGCCAGAAACTCTACATTGACCAAGCTGGCCTGGAGTTCATGATCCTAAGTGTGGAGAGTACAAGTATGCACAACCACACCCAGCTCCTCCCCAAACACTTGGTATGTGCCCGTCATTTTGCCTCAGGAATCTGCACATACTGTCTCACTAGATTCTCTGATGTAAGTTCTATTTTCACCCCCCATTTACAGAAGAGGAAAGTGAGGTTCAGTTAAATAAAGTGCTCCCATTCAAGTTGCTTGGTAGTGGTGGCTAGTGTCAATTGTTAACCTGACAGAAATCTCCAATTAGAATTACCTGAGAGATGTGCTCCTGGGAATAAATGCTTGTGGGGGATTATGGTGGGTTAACTGACCTGGGAAGACTCATCTTAACTATGGGTGGGACCATTCTCTAAGCAGGGGATCCTGGATTGTATAAAATAGAGAAGGCTGGGCCATATCAAGATGGCTCAACAAGGCTGGTCCCAGGGGCACACACCTTTAATCCCAGCACTTGGGAGGCAGAGGCATGTGGATCTCTGTTTTAGGCCAGCCTGGTCTACATAGCCAGTTCCAGGTCAGCCAGGGCTACATACCCTGTCTCAAAAAAAAAAAAAGGCTCAGGAAGTAAATGGCATACACATGCCCACATATACACTCAATAAATAGATGTAAAACAAAACACATTTTAAAAAAGGCAAGGTGAGGCCAGGCGTGGTGACCTTTAATTCCAGCACTTGGGAGGCAGAAGCAGGTGGTCTCATAACACACATATACACATATATCTGTATCAACATTGCATACAACTTACTGCTCTCTCTGATCATGGACAGGGAGTGTCACGGGGGTTCTGTTGTTCCCACTGAAAAATAGCAATAAAAGCGTGTGTTTCCTATGGAGCCTGTACAGAGGCATGTATTTCACCAATTGGATTCTTATTAAACATTATTCTCCAAAGTTTGAACTTGTGGTGCTACAAAGCCCCTCCAGCAATATTTTTTCTGTGCTTATACACACCCAGCTGGAAAATAGGCTCCACTACCAACATCTTGAGATTCATTTTATTCAACAAATATTTATCATGAAGCTACTATGTGCCAGGTGATGAGTCAGGAGTTAGGGATCAAATGACAAAATATGCTAGACATGGGCTAGTGAGGAAACAACACACCCTCTACTGACTGGCCATGGAGGTTGTGACTGGTTCACAACTTCCCTGACCCTCAGGTAAGAGAAGGATGGTATTAGAAATGCCCTCTCTCCTCCTTCACCCACTCTTCTGGCCCTGCTCTCCAGTCTCATTCCAGCCTGCTAAGAAATCCAAAGTTCATGCTCCAGCCAGGCTGATCCTGGCTGAAAACAAGGTAGTTTTTTTTTTTCTTTTTTCCTTCCCTGCCATCTCTGGGAAAAACAAGCTAAGGGAAGGGAGAAGGGTGACCTTCCCCTCCATCAGCTCCATCTGTTTTACCAGTGCCAAGGCACACCCAGGAGGCTCCTTCTGGGCCAGGCAAGCCACAGGGGTGCCTGGATAAGGACAGGGTGTGTGTTTGTGTATAGGCACCACTTCCTGCCTCCCTGAACAAAAAAATCCCTCAAAACAATGTCCAACTTCCTTTGCCAGAGACAGACACTGCTGGGCCACTGGCTGCCTCCTCTTTTCCCCTAGCTTTGACAGTCAGTGTAAAGCTGGAGTCTATCCTCGGCTTCCTTATCTGTAAAATGGGACTGGCACTCCCCAGAGTGGTCTAAGTGGGATGCAAAACGGGTGAGTGCCAAAACTGGAACACCAGCACTAGGCCCTGTGCTAGGCACCTCGCCATCACCCGTCCCACACAATAGAGTAGGAGAGCTCAGAGCTCCATGAGAGGAAACTGACTGAACAGCAGTCAAAAATGCCACCAGGTCTGTCTAGCTACCAACCTGGCCACCTTCCGCTAGGCTTTGTTGCAGCTCCCATGGCAACAATGGTATCAGGAATCATGGTCAGAGCTCTTACTGTGTGACTTCCCTGTGCAAGCGCTTTGCCCACAATAATGCATGCGCATGATGCTTCCTAGAGATAAAGGCCTGTTCTCAGCAAGAGCAAAAATATTTTGTACTATCAGTTTGCAAAAAACTGTACTGTGAGTGATCCTCGCAAAGCAGGAAAGAGGCTGAAACTCTATTTCCTGTGGACAGATGGCAAGGGGAACACTCACTGTCCAGCTCCTGCCCTAGCCCTCAGAGTTCTCCCAGACTTCCTTTCTTCCCTACCTTCCTTTCAGTCTCTGCCACCAGCCACCAAATCCAAGAGCCCCTTATAGGCGCGAGGAGCCAGTAAGTTCCCCCATTTCCTAAAAATTGCTTAATTAGAAATTAAATTCTCAGCCATCATCTGGTCCCCACACCTCTACACAACAGTGGTCCTGGTGCATAACAAAGGATCAGATAGAGTAAAACGCTTCTGCATCCCCTTAATGCTCCTTTCTTGGAGCACTGTCCATGTTACTTATGCTGCCTTTGTCTATGAGATTTCTGATCTGACGCACAAGCCCCTGGTTTGGCTCTCCTGTAGCCATGTCAGAGGCGCGCACAAAAAGCCCAAAAAGGGAAACTGAGACCAAGGAGAGCGAAGTACTAGGCCAAGGTCACTCAGCGGCTGAAACAACGCGAGCCTGACCCGTCTTTCCTCGCCGGGTACCCCACCATTCTCCCAACTGCGACGTCAACCGGAAGCTGCATGTGCGGAGCTGTAAACACCACCCGCAACGCCCCACCCCCGCTCCCGGTCCCGCCCCCACACCACGTGATGGTACCCCGCCCGCCCCCGCCGCCACCTCATTGGGCGGCCAGCTTTGTTTACCTTATATGGCCAGGTCCTAACACCCCACGGCGGCCAATTGGTCGAGTCGCGGCCTCACTCAGCTGACATCACCCGGGACATGAAGATGCAAATAAACCGGGGCATTCTGGGACTGGGAGTCCGGGGCTGCTCCAGAAAGTGTTCCGCCCGGTCCTGGTGCCCACACGTTGCACTAGATTTATTTTTGCATGGCAAAGTGGCACCGAAGGGAAGGGGACTCCAAGGCTCTATAGACCACTGGCCTGGCCAGCCTATCCTAGGGACTGCCTTCTTTCTAGACGCTCCTCCAGTGTAGCAGGCTGAGAGCCAGGCTGAGGAGGGAGATACAAGGATGCGCTGCGAACACCGGAAGGCTTCCTGGAGGTGGTGACGTCGAGCAGCGCCTACAACGGCAGATGTTCGGGTTCACTGTCCGTCCTCTGTGTGTCAGGACTTCGGGGCCTCGTAGAGTAGTGCAGTGAGTTGGCACAAAGCTTTTGTGGAGCCCCTTCCCTAAGAGTGTTCCCACTAAGCACAGTGGGCCCAAGGACCTTCGGGCCTCTGTGAAGCGGCAGGTTGGCTGCTGCGTTCCTGAGTCCAAGACTCCCCATCTCTGCCCCGGACAAGGGCTGCGAGAGCCACCGAGATCCCCGAGGGAGAGGGCGTACAGTGGGCTCCTCCCCATTCTGCTCGGCGGGGGCGTTGCGGACTACACATCCCAGCATGCCCCGCCGGCCGCCGGGCAGCGAGGCGCGGTGAGTCAGAGCCCACAGTAAATATTTGTATTAGCCGGGGCCGGCTCGCTAATGGTGGACGCGTGAGGCGGAGGCGCGAGCGCGCAGGGAGGCCGGAGCGGGCAGCGCGGCGGCGCCATGTCCGTGAACATGGACGAGCTCAAACACCAGGTCATGATCAACCAGTTCGTGCTCACGGCGGGCTGCGCGGCTGATCAGGCGAAGCAGCTGCTGCAGGCGGCCCACTGGCAGTTCGAGGTGCGCGGGGGGACCCGGGGCGGACGCGGGTGGCGGGGACACGTGCCGGGATGCGGGCCGTGGACACCACCCGACCGCCAGGCCCCGGCTCCGGAAACGCGGCTGCCCCGGGCACCCCACGATCAGGACGTGGGCCCTCCCCCCTCCCCTCCCCCCTTTGTCCTGGTAACGGCCGAGGACGTAACCGACTGCCGCCAGGAGGACGCCCAGGGCCTGGTTGCTCCCAGCCGGAGGGCGGAGTCGCCCAGAGCGAGCGGTCCCCCGGTCCGTGTGCCTGGTGGGCGGCCGGCGGCGTTTGCGCACAGGTACATGTGCATTTGTATTTACGCACGCCCCGCGCTTGGGTGTCAGCGGGGCACAGCCAAGGTTTCGGGCATGTGGGCGCCTGTGCGGACGGGCAACCGGCCTGGGTGCGTGTCTGATGTAGAGATGTCATGTTGAATGTCTGTTCAGCATGTACGCATGTGGCAATTTGCGGATGGTGGTTATGCCAGGTTTCGTGCGATGTGTACACACACGATACGCGCGCGGCGTGCGCATGGAATAGGCGTTGTGCAGGACCCTCGCGCTAAATCGTGAGGATTGTGCATTTATGTGCCCGGGAGGAACCCTATGCTGACCCTGGTGCCCTCCGGCCTGGTCCCTGATGTGGTGCTCTAGGGATGGTGGACTTTTACACGGTTCACTAGCTTTAGGGCCATCAGGGCAGGAGTTGGGGCTACCAGTCTGGCTCCCACCTTCTTTCAGGCTCCTCTTGAGATAAACAGTGGTAGTGTCCCCAGGTGTTTGTGCTCCTGAGATGTCACTTGTCCTCTCAGACCTCCAACTTCACCCCATGGTAGCATCTAGAGATGAAGCCAGAGGGTTTGGAGCTGTGTCCCTCTCAGGTGTATGGTCACAGCCGGAGGAGACATTCTGGTAGTCTGTACCCAACCTGAACCTAAGAACCTGGTTTCTTAGTGGGAGCTATCCCAGAGAAATCTCTGGGAAGAACCAGGATAACTTCCTGGATGTGGGATAGAATCAGAATCTGCCCAGGCTGGAAAGACAGTGGCCCTTCTACTCTGAGCCAAGTCTTTGCTCTGCTCATCTTCCTACCAGACTTTGAGGCCACTGACTCTATACTGTCTTCAACTTGGAGAGAGGAGGCTTCATTTCCCTACCAGCCTCAGTTTCCACACCTCTGGGGGGGGAGATGAATGAGTCAGCCTCTAAGGCCATTCAGGGCCTGCCCTCTACCCCCTCCCCCACTACAGCCCCACCCCAGGGAAGTGCCCTGCTCCCCACCTCTCCAACAGCCCTAATCAGCCTTGTCTCTGGGGCTGGATGTGGCAAAACTTGCAAAACCACATTCATGGCAGTTTGCTGGAGCCCTGTGGCTGCATGCAGAGCTCCCTCCTTGCTTGGGGCTGGGCAGGCAGGTGTCCCGTGGGAAGTGGGCACTGTATGGAGGACTCAGTCCATCTATCACTGTGGGGTAGTGTCCTTGAGGAACAGGGTTTTCTGCAGCCTGAAGGGCTCTGACACACAGAGACCCAGGATAGATCTGTGTGCTCTTGGCTCTCAAGAGTTTCGGTTTCATCATATGTAAAATGAGGGACACTGAGCAAGGGTAGGCTGTGAACTGTCATACATCAGGCAGCTGCCTAGGAGTGAGGGGTTCTGCATAGTTAGCCCATCCCCCTCCATACCTGCCTCCCTATAGGCTGGTAGCATACTCTAGATAGTGTTTCTGGGTCACATTCTCAGATTCAGGTGCTAATGGGGGCAGAGGCTGCAGGGGGAAGGGACTTCTGTGTAGCCGGGCAGATGTTTCTCGATGGAGAACTTACAGCAGCCTTTGGAGGACAGTGTAAGGTGTGTTACCTGGGGTCCTGGGTTGGGGATTGCAAACAGAGTGTAGTTGGGGGAACAAATGTCCCTGCCAGAGGTTCTTGGACATCACCAAGCTCATGTCTGAACTACCACTCCACTATTTGGGGACACAGGGATAGGGCATCTCCAGCAGGAAATTCCCAGAATAATTCATTTGAATATACTTAAAAAAAAAAAAATGAAAGTAAGCCCTGGGAGTCAGACTAGGTTTCTGGGTGTGTTGGGTAGGGGAGGGGCCTGGAGTACAGCTGAGTTTGGACAACAGAGGCTGGCAGTAAGTCTGCAGAGTGGCCATAGCTTCAGAGCCTTGGACTTGGCCAGGGCCCTGAGGACCCCCTCACCCACTTGACAGCCTCTCTCAACTAGTAGTTTCACAAGAGCAATCAGTTCCCTTTTTTCTGCAGGGGGCCCAAGGCATGACACAGTCAATACAAACACAATCCTTGGGGTTCCTTGAGGCCACCTTGGAGCCCCCTCCCCTTGTGACTCAGGACTCACCCTGGTTCCCTTTTCACCATCCTCTGTGGCCAGTTCAGAAGAGTCTCAGTCCAGGGTCTAATCCCATCTCCACCTGATTCTAGCCAAGGGACCCTACGAAATTCACTTCATCCTCAGTTTCCCTGTCTGTAAAATGAGTCATACCAGTTCTAGCTTCTGGGGTAGTTGATGAGAAGTGCCCGTTATGATAAAGTCCTGCTTGGAGAGGCGGCAGCTTAGTACCAGCCACTAAGAGGTGGCCAGAGAGCTGTCTTCAGTGTCATGGTGGGTTCAGTGGTAGGGATCACATTCTTTCTTACCACCTTGTGGACATTCCTCTAGAGGGGGAGCTGGGCTGAGAAGTAGGTCTCCACCCTCCCAGCTGAGACTCATTCTTCAAGAGTCCCCAGTTTGCACATGGGGAAACAGGTTCAGAGAAGAGTGGAGATTTGGCACCCATCAAGGTAGAAAAAGCCAGGAATGGAGACAGGGAAAGCCACAGTGACAAGCCAGGAGCACCTGGTCAGTGACAAGCAGTACAGGTCTTCTCTACCCAGCCCACTTGCCTTGAGTTCCATGACACCTCCTCAAGTGGTGGTGACAGGCAAACTGCTGGACCTCAGCTCACCCTGTCCCACTGGAATGACTGGACAGGGTCTTGGAGGGTAAGTGGAGCCTTTCTCCCTGCAGACAGCCCTCAGCGCCTTTTTCCAGGAGACCAACATCCCCTACAGCCACCACCACCACCAGATGGTAAGTGTTCCCTGGAGGCCTGAAACTGGCTCCTCAGTCTGGGCGGGGAGGAGACTGAGCATATTGGTTGCCCCCAGGGAAACCTCAGATGGAGGAGGGCAGTACCATCATGGAACTCCTCCTTGAGTGAGGTAGTTCTGTAGGAGTGTGAGCTCAGTGGGCAGCCTGGACTCTGTAAAACCTGGAGAGCACTGACCCTTGGAGCTCCAGCTCCCACCAGGCAGCCAGCCCAGGGATGCTGTGCAGACCATGGGGGCTGTGAAAACTTATGGTCCCTGAGCCAGCAGGTATTGTGCCAAATGGTGTGGCCTCAATGAAGCCCACCAAACCCATCTTCATGCCCTTTCCTGTGAGCTGTTCCCTGGGTGGTGGGCCAGCTAGAGCCAGATGTAGCCCAGGTGACTCCCTAAGACATCTGGGCGCATGTCTCCTTTTAAAGGCAAGCAAGGGTCCAGAGGCCCTCCCAGAAAAGGGTGCTCAGTCTTCCCTTTCTCCTTTCTTACCCACAGATGTGCACTCCTGCCAATACCCCTGCCACGCCCCCCAACTTCCCTGATGCCCTCACCATGTTCTCACGTCTCAAGGCCTCTGAAAGCTTCCACGGTGGCGGCAGCGGCAGTCCGATGGCCACGACAGCCACATCACCCCCACCGCACTTCCCCCATGCCGCCACTGGCAGCTTCGCAACACCCAGCTGGCCAACTACAGCCTCACCCCCAGGAGGCCCACAGCACTACCAGCCGCAGCCGCCCCTGTGGACTCCGGCACCCCCTTCCCCAGCTTCAGACTGGCCTCCCCTGGCTCCCCAACAGGCCGCCTCAGAACCGAGGGCCCACCCTGCCATGGAGGCAGAGAGATAGGGGAGGCCCCTCCCCCCTCCCTGAGGCCAGGACCCTGTGGGGTGGGGGAGAGGATTTCTCTATGGGCCCCTTCACCCCTTCTCTCTCTGCACCCCTGTGCCCTGGAGCCTTGGAGGGGAGAGACTGGACTCTAGCCAGGCAGGGATACGTCTTGTGCCAGCATGCACAGCTGCACGCACGCAAGTTCACAGCACAGGCACTTGGCTCCCAGCTCGCATGGATTTGGCTCAAAGTGGCTTTGGGTGTCCAGTGGGCAGTACCTTGGAGACCAAACAGTCACCCCATGAAGACTCACCTGCCTGGCCCTCCCACCCAGGGAAAATCAATTGGTGGTGGAGACTCAGCTGGCTTCTGTCTTGGAGCTCCCTGGGGCCAGTAGGCCTAAATCCCCACCCTTGGGAATGCAGAGCCTTCTCTGCATGTGTGCGTGTAGCTGTGTCTATGTATTTATATGTATGTCGCTCTTCTAAAAGCAACTTAGTTTATGGGGCAGCTGGACTTTGCATGTTAGAGTGAGCCCCAAACTCCTTGCCCACCACCCAGTCTTACCCAGGGCCCTGCTTCACCCCACCCCCTTGTCTGCCAGCATTGCTTTTCCCTGAAAAGGATTATAGGAAACTCCAGGACTCTTCTACTCATCCCCCAGCGCCTGCCTGCTGGGGCTGCCTGCATGCCTCTCTCCCCCAGAGCCCAGGGGTACCTAATCCCCATTTCCTATCGCCCTTTTAACAACAGAGAAGAAAGAATTCCAAACCACCACCAGGCTCTGTGGTCTTGCCTCATATCCTAGGCTTTGCTGGCTGGCTCTGTGGAAGGGGGTGCTGAGCTGAGCACAAGCCATCCCAGTTTCGCCCAGCAGAACACTGCTCCTGCCTCTTGCCACATGCACTGGAATCTGCCTACCAGAGGCTTGTCCTATGAAGTTTGTTTTCTAGCCTTTGTTCCCAGAATCCCACCTACTGTTTACCTGCTCCTTTTCCTGATGAAATGGACGAATCTCAACTTTACTTTGGGTGAGCAGGGCTAATGAATGCCTGGGTTTCACATGGTCCTTTCTTCTTGGACTCATAGCCTTGCCATTAGCGACATGGTTGGGCAGGACTCCTGCACCAACCTGGTATGCCTATTTCTGGAAAAAGAGTAAGGCGGGAGGGCAAGCCATGTCCAGCCCTTGAGTCTTCAGTCTGCAGCATCTCCACTCAGGGATGGAAGGAAATTGCTATAACCCCATCTCCACATGTGGTAGGAAAAGGCTTTGGAGAGAGATGTGTTTTGGGGTCACCTGCCATGCAGGGTGAGTCCTGGGCTTCTCTGTGGACAGATGTTGAGGTGACTGCTATGCAGGAGGTGACACACATAGTCTAGCATCAGCTTATAAATGCCCAGCAGACCCCTGGATGGCCTGTGATGGACCATACCCTCCCTACTTTAAGTAGTGTCTCTTATGGAAAAATAGGCAACAGCATTACCCAAGAACTTGTTGGACATGCAGGACCTAAGTCCCTAGCCCATACCCCAAGTCAAAATCTTAACAGGAGCACTTGATAAAAATAGACACTGGAGTTTAAGAAGCTCCCCAGAAGGACATCTACCAAATTCTGGAGCTGAACCCAGCTATTTGAGGAGGCTGCTGAGCATTTGGCCTTGAAATCTCAAGTGGTCACATTGAGGCATAAGGGACTTTCTAGCCTCAGCACTGTTAACTAACGTCTGAGTCAGATAGTGTCCCTTCAGTAGGGGCTGACATATACACTGTGTTCTGGAAGCCTACCCACTACATCAAGTAGCAAAGACCCCCTTTCCCCCTTGTGTATCAAAATGGTCTGCACATACTGCCAACATCCTCTTCTCTGGGAATGGCTGCTGCTGGTCCTGGGGTTTACATGCGCAGCCACCCAGCCTAAACAGCCTCCCCCCTCCCCCCGCATCAGTGCTGGGCAAGAGCTGCAGGTAGATAATAGTGATCCATCTGCCTTCAGTAAAAGCCACTCAGTTTACAGCTTTCTGGTTGTACCAATTATACTTAAAAGCTGTTACTAAAAATAATACAGCTCCTACCAGGTGGTTCTGATACAGCCACTGAGCACACAACCACCAGACTCCTGATCTACAAGCTTGCAGAAGGATGAGGGTACCTCAAAGTACTCAGCTTTGTTTTTGAGGCAGGGTCTCATTTGGTCCAGGCTACTCTTGAACTCATGGTAATCCTGCCTTAACTAAGTGCTGGGGTTTAAAGGTGAGCCACTACAGCCAGCTCTGAGTACTTGTTAGACACACTGGTTCCCAGCCTGTCTTGAAGAGCTGCCCTGGAGGAGAGTCCTAGACTGATTTTTCAGTTTGTCTAATGCTAGAGCTCTCCTGCAGTTGGGTTTTCTGGGCAGCACAGGCTGGAGCTAGGGCCTAGAAACTCTTATTTCCTAGCAGATGCAGAGGCCCTGCCAGATATGCTTCATGTTCTTGTCTGAGTATCTGGAAATGGTGAGGACTATCTTTGGGGGTGGTAGCCAGATGTGACCCATGATACCTTGTAGCTTGCACACACACAAAACCAAACTCTGGAACATCCTATAGCTTAACCCAAGCCTGGGCACTGAGAAAATAAAATGATTCATGTGTTCAAGAGGAGCAAAGGGCTGAAGTTCTAGAGCAAACTTGGTTGTAGGCCATCCTTACTGCCTCATATCAAGCACTTCCTGGGAGCAGCCTGAGCAACAAAGGAAAACCAGCTCATCATGGGTTTAGGATGCGACTTAGTTGGTAGAGTACTTGCCCACTATGCATGATACCCAGGGTTTGATCCCCAGAACCAAATAAACTTGATCAGTCTTGGTAGCACACACCTGCAATCCCCGCACCAGAAAGGGGAAGGAGAATCAGAAGTATGAGGTCATCCTCAGCTACATACCAAGTTGAAAGCCAGTATGGGATATGGGAGACCCTATCTCAAAATCACAAAAACAGGACTGGAGTTCTAAATGACTTGTACAATTCCATTCTTGTTTGAGACAAAGTCTCACTCTGTAGCCCTAGCTGGCTTGGAACTCACTAAGTAGGATCAGGTTGGCCTCAAATCCAGAGTTCTACCTGCTCCTGCCTCCTGAGTGCTGGGATCAAAGGTGTGAACCATGCCCAGTCCACAGTTGCACTTTAAAAATCCATTTGCATCTGTGAAGTTGCTCTAAAGAGGGTCTTTCAAGCTGTGTCTGAGTCCCTGAGGACAAGGCAATATGTAGGAACTTGGCCTTGTCAGGTGACAGTTAGTGGCTATACCCTTATCTCAGCTCTGAAGGAGGACAGATTGGGCTTATAAACTTGTGTGGCCAGCACACAGTGTTGCCTGTTTTGTTAACTGATTTTAATGTCAAGAGGGTTTAGTTTATATGAAAAGCCTCACTTTTGTCTTGGAAAACTGGACTATGTGACCCAAATTACCTTAAGACCACAAGTGGCTGGAGCTGGCCATCACACTGAGGATACAGCCTGGCCCACTACTGCTGGGTTGGCCTCTGCAGTCCACTGGTTACCCAGACAGCCATTTGTAGCTGCTGTCTTGAATCTTGCTTTTTACTCAGCAATTGTAGAAGAAAATTATGCCTGCACAGAGGGGTGGAGGACACCCAGCAGTGAACACAACCCTAAGCTGCTTTTTGTGGCTGGTAGGCCTCCTTTGGACAGCCTTAAAGAGAGGATGTGTTCTCCTTTGAGTCTTGGATATGGGGCCACATTCAGCACTGCTGAGTGTCCCCAGGGTCTGTCCATAGCCCAGCCAGGGTTCTCTGAGCACACACTTTGGCCAACCTAGAGAACCACACTGTCCCCATGGCTGGCTACGTTCCTAGATGTCTTTTCACAGCAAGGGACAGATGAATCCTTTGAGGTCTGGTGAGGGGAGGCCTTCTGAGTTGACAAGATGGTCTTTTGATGGAATGCTATTTCTCCTGCATTTGCAGTCTCTGGGTTTGTAACCACCGTGTGTGTTTGGGTACAATGTCTATCTCAAATGAGCCTAAAGAATACAGCTTTTTTTCAGAGGGGACGGTGTTGAGACATCTTGAGATAAGGAGAATGGCAAAGCTTTGTCTGTGGCACAGTGCAAAATGCTGGGGGACCTGTAACAAAACCCTGTCTTGCTTGCCTGGGGAATAACAGATGCAGGTACTGTAGAATCATTCTCTAAAGATCTGATAAGAAAGAGGAACGTTTAATACCTTCTCTGGTAGTGTGAGTTTGCAGTGTCTCTGTGTAGAGCCCCCCTGGTTCATGGGAAGTGGGTCAAGCCAATCAGTATGGTGTGCTGGGGGCAAGCATGTGCTGAGTCCAGTGTCTGTGAAAGGTACTTGAGCTTCCACTTTGCAGCCCTTGGTTTTATGCACTGGTGGTTCATCGCCCACCCGCCCCATACACACACACCTGCCAGGGGACAGACATTTGCCTTGTCAGTTGTTTACATCTTAGGTTAATGAGTTTTTGGTCTTTGACAGGGAGAAAGAGACCTGTGACCTTTTACTCACAGCAGTGTGAGGCTAGGCTGGGTGGTACAAGGTAGTCACTGGGGCAGCAGCTGCCCCCTCCAGCAGCACATCAGTTTGGGTTCTATGCTCTGCAAAAGATACCTTCTTCCTCATGCTGCCCAGTCCCTTTATGCTTCTCACTTCACCATACCACTCACCTCAGTTCTTGCTTGTTTTGTTTTGTGTGTGTCAATGTTTAAATGTGATTTTTTTTTTTTTTTGATCTTTTTGAGACAGGGTCTCCCTGTAGCCCCAGCTGTCTTGGAACTCACTCTGTAGACCAAGGTGGCCTTGAACTCACAGAGATCCACCTGCCTCTGCCTCCCAAGTGCTAGAACTAAAGGTGTGTGCCACCACTCCCAGCAAGATTTATATTTTATGTGTATTTCTTACCTGCATGTTTTTAAGTGCACTACATGCATTCGATGACAGAGGAGGCCAGAAGGGGGCATCAGAGTCCCCTGGAACTGGAGTTAACAGACTGTTGTATGTGTTGAAAACCAAATCCTCATCCTCCGCAGGAACAAGTGTTCTCAACTGCCCAGCCATCTCTCCAGCCCTTGTTTGTTCTTTCTTGAGACAGGATCCCATAGAGCCCAGGTTGGCCTAGAAGTCACTATGTAGCTGAGTATGACCTTGACCTTCTGATCCTCCTGCCTCCTGAGTACTGGGATTATACGTGTGCACTACCACATCCAGTTTTCACCAGAGTCTAAAAATTCAAAGCCTACTTCCCGGGACATCCCACACCTCACACACACACATTCATTCTTGGGCAAACTAAGATAGTTCGTCACTCGACCCTCCATCCAATCTGGCCTTGCAGCTTTCCCAGATTAGGAATCTGGCCCCTCATGGAGGAAGAAGTTGGCGCAGGCCTGAGACAGGGTTCCATTGCTCTGGTGTACCTTCCCCTGTTGCAGTAGGGTCAGCCACATTCCTGAGGCATCTTGCCTATTCCCAGCCTCCAGCACACCCACAGGCCCTCCACCGTGGGACAGGCCTGTCTTTGGGACAGAGCACCCAGCAACCTGTCCAAAGAGGAGGGTGTGCACTGATTTGCAGAATTTGGGGACTCCTCACACCCTGGGCTACAGAAACCAGCTCAAGCACTGACTACTCAGGTTCTTAAACGTGCAAAGGAGTCCCAGAAGTGGCCAAATGGGTACAGTCATGAGTTTGTGAGGATAAGTGGTGCCCATCTGGGAGGACCAGGGAGAGCCCCTTGGTATCTACACTGGGAACACATGCATAGACATGGACCTCACTTCCCCAGTTGACAACCTTGTGCAGTGGAGGAAGGCATAGTACCTGCTGGGTATTGGATGGAGCCAGAGAAATGGGCCCTTGCTGTGTAACCCTGAACCTGTGGAGCTCTGTGATCTCTCTACCATACAGTTGGGTGGGGGCAGCTCAGGGAATGTGGCTGTCATGGTTATAGAGGAGGACAGTTTGTTGTGAGTCTCTGCAACCTTGGCTGATTCTGGGCAGGGATACTGAGAGGCTGTGCCTGGGGTGGTAATCAAAGGGGGGACCAGCAAGGCCCACCCATATGGGGAGAAGGCAAGGCCACTGACTGCAGAGAGCACCAGGCCAGGCCCCTCATCTGTGGTCCATAAGGAAGGAGGTTTTATTCTGAATAGAAAGTGCCAAAAAAAAAAATACCCATCTTCGATATAGGGGTGAGGTCTCCAGAGAGGCTTAGAGAGGTGTGTCTCCTGGGCCAGAACAGGACTCAGCCTCATTTGGACACCTTCCTTGAAAGAAAAGGTGAGTTGGCTAGGAGTGGCCTCAAGTGAGGAGCTGACTGATGAGGGGCTACAGGGAATGTTGGAAACAGGCAAACACATCCTTATACACTGATGGCCTCCCAAGCCAAGGGAACTTCCACACCAGCCATGGGCAAAATTTAGCTCTTTCTTTCAAGATACTCCAGCTCTCCTGGAAAGCACTCCGCATCTACCCCTAACTTCCCCACTCAGCCCAAGGATCCAGAGACCCTTGAGGTGGGGCTCCAAACCTATGCTAAAGGAAGCTGTCTCCATGTTTGAGGGAATTAGCAGTAAGAAAGGAGAGGAGACAAGAAGGAGGGAGTGAGACTAAGAGGAAAAGGGAATGGTCAAATAGAAGCAATACACCCAGGTTGAGAGTTCAGAGGTGGCTATGAGTGAAACTACTTAATGCCCCAAGGCTGGTCACCAAATTGCCATAGGGAAATAAAATCTCAGAAAGTGCATGGACTGTGAGCAAGGCAACCTGCCTGCTAGGCTCAAAATAAGCTTGTGCCCAATCCTTGGAGGGTACCCTAGAGTTAGAATACTCAGGGGTGCTATACCAGTCTCCTCATGGATTAGTCAGGACATAAAAATCAGTCAGGTACTTAGTAGAAACTGGATATGGTAACACACACCTGTATCTCAGCAACTCTGGTGGTAGAGGCAGAGGATCAAAAAGTCAAGCTCATCCTCAGCTACATAATTCAAGGACAGCCTGGGTTACATGAAACCCTGTCTCAAAGATACAGCCAGGGAGATGACTCAGCAGGTAAGAATGCTTGCTACATGAGGATATGTTTTCAAATCTCAAGAACATATCCTAAAAGCTGGGTGTGGTCTCAAACACCTGCAACTCCAGTGCTGGGGGTGGATGACAAAGACAAAGATTGCTGAGGCTTGCTGGCCTCTAGCTTAGCTCCTTGTTCAGTGAAAGATTCGTCTCAAGAGAATAAGGTAGAGTGTGATAGAGGATACTCAACATCTTCCTTAGGCCCCTGTGCATGTGCAGGGGCACACACAACCCACAAACCTGTATGCATACACTACAACAGCCTCTCACAGAAAAAGAAAAAGGAAAATTCATAATAATCACTGTTAGGAATGATCACAGGAAATAATGCACAATGAAATCTGCTTCCTGTAGGAAATCTAGTAGCCCCCAAGTAAGATTCTAAGAGGCAAGAGCCAATCCTGAGGAAACTTAGTGATCTACCAAGGAAAGGGATTTTTGTTGTTATTGAGACAGGGTCTCATGTATCCCAAACTGGTCTTGAAGTCATTGTGTAGCAGAGGATGACCTTGGTCTGATCCTTCTGCCTTTACCACCAGAGTGCTATGATTATAGGCATGTGCCACCATTCCTTTGCTGGGGGTGGAACCTAGAGCTTTGGACATGCTAGGCAGGCACTCTGCAGCTGAACTACAGCCCCAGCCCAGAAGGGATTGTTTATTTTGTTGTTTTGGTGTTTTTTTGTTTTGTTTTGTTTTTATTTTTGTCTTTTTGAAGCAGGATCTCCCTGTAGCCCCAGCTGTCCTGGAACTCACTATGTAGATCTGCTTGCCTCTGCTTCCCAAGTGCTGGGACTACAGGCGTGTGCCACCACACCCGGCTTGTTTGGTCTTTTTGAGACAAGGTCTCCCTGTAGCCCCAGCTGTCCTGAACTCACTGTGTAGACCAGGCTGGCCTTGAACTCACAGAGATCTGCCTGCCTCTGCCTCCCAAGTGCTGGGATTAAAGGCGTGCACCACCAGCCTGGCTGAAAGGTATTGTTTTAAAACTGCTTTGTGCTGTTGGGAAATTGCTCAAGAAATTCACTTGGCTCTGTGAAAAACTTCACTCGAAAGCTGTGTTCTCCATGAAAATGCTGGCTAAGAGGGATAGTGTAGTTTGTATTTTAGATACATAAACATGGGTCAACATGGGTCCCCTATGCAGACCCTTTCCCCTATATCCAGGGCCCATATACCCTTCCCTGGATCTGATCCAGGGCCCTAGGACTTTTCCGCGGAGTGAAGGGGACCCCATGGTAGTAGGGTCACAGGTTTGGGGCCCACGGGTTGGTGGGCTTCTCTTCAACCTGCATGCTGGCTCGGGATTCAAGCTGCAGAGATCTCGAGTGCCTGGTGGGTCCTGGCGCTTCCTGGGAGTCCCTTGGGAGTGGGATCAGTGGTGGCAGCTGAGGCACTTGTGGCAAGGATGGTGGCCGAACCAGCGTTGTGGCAAAATGTTGAGAGGTGGCAGAGCTGATGCTGGTGCAGGGGCCCAAGGCTGGGGATGTGCAGGAGAAACCTGTGCTGTGTTCCAGCATTCCCTGGCCTGATGGACTTCTGCCCCCAGGGGCTAGGGACAAGCAGCCCAAGACTGGAGGCATACCATGGGCCATGGCAGGGCCAGTCACTGCACCTCCTTTGAGGGTGACTTAAGCCACATGGCTCCAGGAATGGGTGCTAGAGTGGAATGGAGCCCCTAGAAGCCCAGAATTGAGGCTTAAGGGCTCAATTCTTCCCAGCCTGGTTTGTGGGGCCCTTGGCCAAGAAACCCAGTATATTAAGTGGCCTCCTTTGTCCCACCTCTGGAGCCAGGTGGACCCCTAAGGACAGGAACCATCCAGGAAGCTCAGGGAAAAGGGGAAGCAAGAGCCCAGACAACTGGAGGTTCCACAGCCTTTTTTCCTAGCCAGGGAGCAGGATGGTCCAGGTGAGGGCCATTTTAGGAGATTTCCCAGTGCCCAGGTGGCTGCCAGGGTGTTGGCAGACCAGGTCAGAGTAAGAGAGGTGAGAAGAACAGGCCCCAGACTAGGTGAGGAAAATGAAGAGGGACTAGGAGAGATTGGAGATCTTCTAAAGCCCTAGGTGGGCCAGATACTCACAGGGATATCCAGCACTGAATAAGGAACCTTGGCACACACGATCACTCGGGTTTTGAGTAGAGGGACAGGAAACCTTCACAGCTGAGGAGGAAAAGTCTGAATAGATGGGACCCTTCCAGAGCTCTGGCCTCTGCATCAGGCCAGAGTTTGCACTCTGGTGGGACCACAGTGTTCCCCAGCCCTGCCCCCATGGCCTGTGGGTACCCATTCCCTGTGGGTAGATGGCCTCCTTCCCTTGCCTTTGTGATAATTAGCAAAGACACAGATACAATGACTAGTTTTAAGTGCTGAGGCTGTTTAGGACTAGAATTTTTTTTGGATAAATGAACATATGACAAAAGCAAGTCCCATCAGAAGAGATCCTCCAGCCTCAGCCTGTGAGTGCTAAGATTAAAGATTTCTAACAGTAGTCAGGCTTCACCGCCCCAAGCAAGGTAAAGCTGCTGAGTGTGTCATGATTCATGCTCTGCTATGTTTACTTGTTATTGGGAATTAAGTGACCCAGTGAAAGAAAGGCCCCTCCCTCAAGGATGACAGCCCTGGGTAAGGTCTACAGTGGATAGAGATGGAGCTGGGGGTGTCCCACTGCTAAGGTTGCTTCCCAGCAAGCATATCTCCCTTGTTCTTTGTGAAATACCTCAACAGGTTGCTATGAGCAAGGAGCCGGAGGGTGTGGTACAAAAGTTGGGGCTCATTAAATATTAGCTCCTGCTGACCTGCTTGATGATCCCTGAAGCCCAGCTGAGTCTCCTCCTATCAGATCCACAGTGTGTGTGTGTGTGTTGTGTGGGAGGGGATGGGGTGGGGGGAGAGTTGGCTGAGCAGTCACCTTCTGCCTGGGCAGAGGGCAGGGGAGAATCTGTTATGCACTCTTGGTAATAAGATGGGGCCTGTAAATGGGCTGCATGGTGGTTACCTAAAAGATATGTTCTGTGGAATTTTTAGATACGACCTTATTGAAGAAAAAGGTCTCTGGGTGTAATTTCAGATCTTGAAACAGGATGACCTTAGGTTACACTAAGCATGAATTCCAGTGACAAGTATCTTCATGAGAGAAAGTACATAGAGGAGGAGGAAGAGGAGCCTGGAGTCAATGGCCCCTGCCAAGAGGAGCTGGCAGGGGCAAAAAGGCTCCATGAGGTTCTGAGGGAGTAGAGCTCATACCATGTCTTAGGACTTCCAGAGCTGGAAGAACAGCCCTGTGGCTTTGGGGCCCTGGGGTATGGTGGTTAGCTGTGGCATCTGGGAAGCTGCTACAGGGTATGTCCTCTGTCCAGCATACCAGTGTGGCCAATCCCTTTCCTCTTTACATGTCAGGGCTCAGTGCTCTGGTCCATGGGACACTTGTAGAATTTCTATGGTTATAGTTCAGTCCTCAGCCTCCTGTACACTCCCATTGGGGGATTGCAGCTCTCTGGTAGGGACAGGATTTAGATCTATGCCCCAACACCACAGTAATCACAGTGACTGATTCTAAATTCACATAGATTGGGATACTGACCTGACCATTAGCAGTGATACTAGGACACAGGCTTCTGGCGTCTGATCCTGTCCTCAGTTCCTTTTCACCTTTAACTTGGTCTCTGCACTCCAAGTAGACTCATCCTCCCAAGTTCTACCCATGTCTGGCTTCTGCCTACCACAGGACCTTTGCACTTACTATTCCATTCACTTGAACCATGCTCCTCCCTCTTGATCTGTCCACCAACTAACTCCTGCTCCTTCTTCAAAGATATTCAGGGAATTGCTCAAGCCCTCCCCCATAGACCAGCTTTGCCTGGCACAACTCTCCCAGCCCAGCATCCCTCCCTAGGCCAGTCTTTGCCAGTGTCCAGCTGTCTATGACTGATATCTTTCCTGAGGATAGCCACATTTGTTTGGGAGTAGTGGGGAATGGTCCCAAGACCTTGCATTTAGGTACTCTGCACTGAGCTGCACCCCTAGTCCCACAGGTCAGTTATTTATCTCTGGTTGTCACCATGAATTCTTGCCTCCCATTATTTGCTGACAGGCTGCCCACCTCATGAGCAGACCACAGGGGACCACACATCCCTTTTTGTTTCTTACCTGGTGAGGTACAGGGTACATAATGGGGACTCCATTTTTCTAGTTGATTGTAAGGGCTCCCCAGCCAGGGGCAGTAGCCACCCTGGGCCCCATTTGTATCCCCTTGCCCAGTCCAGAAGAATCAGGTCCCAAGGCAGGAATGTCAAGGAAGGTCCATTGCTCCTCACCTGCTTGGTCCTTCTCCCCGGTCTGAGCTCCAAACTGCCTGCTCATTCGGCCTTTGTACAGGATCCCATCCACTCCTAGGATGTCCACTTTAGCCTGTGGGAAGGCTCATGTCTTAAGGCCTCCACCCTGCCACCCCATCTCTTGGTGCACACAGATGCCCAGAGCCAGAGCCACAGCCTCCTGGAGATACAGCTCAGGGATTTATCCCATGCCTGGGCCTGGGTATGCTGCTGTCCACCCTCCGTGGGAGAGGCCACAGCCAAACTCACAGTGTCATAGTCCATCAGTGTAGGGTCCCCATAAGGGTAGAATGTCAACAGATCATATGACTTGTGCTTGAAGGTGGTGTCATTTTGGGGCCCATCACCCCAGTCCTTCTGGAAGCCCAGGCCTCCTTCCTGGACTCCAAGATTCTGGAAATGCAGCCTCTGCTGTTGTTCTCTGGACAGGGCAGAAAATCAGCAGCTATCTGGAGACTTCTCTGCCACAGAGGAGCCCAACACAGGCCCCAAAGGCCTGGACAGTGTCAAGAAAGGTGGATGATACAGCAGGCAGGCCCAGAGCTTGGTGACCAGATACAGACATGAACAGTTCCGGGACAGGAATAATCCATACTGTCTACCACAGACTAACAGCACCTACAGACCTGGTCTGGTCTGCCAAGTGCATGCTTTTACTCTTTGCTCCAATAGTCAGGCACAGGAGGGTGAGTGAGCCAGCACAGGTCATCCCTCTCCTTCACCTGGGCTGTGATTGACAGCTGATCATCACCCTACTATTCCACTCCTAGCCAGAAACTCGGAGGCTGTATCCTAGAAGGACCCCAAAGATGTCAAGAGGTTTGAGGGAAATGGAGCAGGAACCCAGGGAACCAACTAGGTGGAGTGGGAAGAAGGCTGGCAGGTGTGAATGTCTTCTCAACCATCACTAGCCATGACCTGGGGCAGGTCATGTAAGCTCTTTGACGCTCAGTTTCTTCAACTGTAAAATGGGACGTTAATAGAATACACCTCCAAAGGAAGCCATAAGGATTCAACAAGACCAGACATGCCAAAGTGCTTAGCACAATGCCTGCCAGGCTTCAGTGAGGACTCCCAGAGGGTCCTTAATCACTATTTACCATTAGCATGTTAATCCTAGCTATTGCCACAGCACTTTTATACTTTTTATTTTGAGGAAAGTTCTCACTCTATAGCTTAGGAAGGACTTGAGCTGGAGATTCTCCTGCCTTGGTCTCCTGAGTAGCTGGGATAACAGGCTTGCACCACCAGGCCTGGCTAGTTCTGTCCCATAGTAGATGCTAATATAAATGTTGGCTCTTTCCTCTATTATCTTGTGTGCTCATTAGCCACACCACCACCTCTTAGATGAGCACCTTAGGCTCTCTTTGGCTCTTGCATTGAAGGAAAGTCTCCAGGACAGAGGTTTCAGGCCTCCCTAGGGACCGGGTCACTATACTCACCTCATCAGCTGCCGCTGCAGGTACTCAAAGCTGTTGGCGCTGGCTGGCCACATCTGAGACAGCACCTGCATATTACGGATGGTGATCAGCTGTCTGTGGAGGTGACAGGAACCAGGGCTGTGGGAAGTGCACATGGCCAGTAGAGGGCTCCAGGCTCCTAGGCCTGGAGGAAGGAAGTGCAAATCTGGTACTCCTCTGTACTCCCGCCCGCCCACAGCCCACAGCCAATAGCCACCATTTGAAAGCTTGCAAGACCTCTGACAGGGAACACAAACACTGTTCTGAATATAAAAGTAAAAACCAAACCAGGCACAGTGGTGCACCTCTGTAATCCCAACTCTTGGGAGACTGAGGCAGGAGGATAGGAAGTTAAAGGCAAGACCACTGTGAAGTACATAGACCTTGTTGCTAATAATAATAATATTCATTATTACTATTATAAAAGTAAACACTAGAGATAGATCCTAGTAACATGCTGCAGATTAGTGGTTGCCAGGAGCTATAGGGATGAGAGGTGCTGCTTGGAAAGGGGGGCGGCGAAGGTGCACCAGATATTATGAATGTACTGTGAATGAGCCCTTCAAATGGTTAAGTTTGTGTCCTGTGTATTTTGCCTCAATAAAATAAAGAGAAAAGAAATCCAGAACAGCCTTCTAGGGAGCTGGGCCTGCACCATATCTCCATTTGAGTGGTGGTTATGCTGTTTACACACATGTAAAAGTTTGTCAAACTGCAAGAAGCACTAGTGTCCTTCACTGTGTGGATGGTAAACCACAATAAAATGTTTTCAGTAAAACATTAACATTTTAAAATTTTGATTTATTATTTTCATTTTATGTGCATGTATGCATTGCCTGCATGTAGGTAAGTGCACCCATGTTGTGCAATGCCCGAGGAGGACAGTAGAGGCTGTTGGATTCCCTGGAACTGGAGTTACAGTTGTTAGCTGCCATGTGAGTGCTGGGATTTGAACCTGGGTCTTCTGCAAGAACAGTCAGTGTTCTTAACCACTGAGTGATCTCTCCAGCCCCTATATTAACATTTTATAAAGTACAGAAAAGCACCAAGAAACCAAGCTCCATGACCAGGGACAGACTTTGATATTCTAGTATTTTTCTATAATTTCTTTAAAGAAAACAGGAGAATCACATACATATGGCTTGATCTCATTTAATATCTTTCCAAGTCTTTAATATTCTTCCACAGCTGTGCTACCCAATAGAGTAGTCAGTGGCCACAGCTAATTCACAAGATTCAAATAGGATTTAATACCCAGATTCTCAGTCACATTATCTCCCTTTCAAGTGTTCAACAGCTACATGTACATAGCGCATCCTGCATAGAGTTGTGGTTTCTGACCATCTCTTCACAAGAAATATTCTATTAGACCAGCATTCTACAACTCAATCTAGTTGTTTCCAATCTGTTTCTTACCATCAATAAAGCTGCAATGAAGTACCTGTGGTTTGAAGGGAAAATCCTGATGGAAGCACCACAGCTCCCTCCTGGTGTGGTGGCAGCAGCTCTGTGGGTTCCAGGGCTAGGTTAGCTCTGTAGAGGCCCTACTGCCCAGGATGGACTATTATCTCGCAGTTCACAGAGTCACCATATGACCTAGCACTTCCACTCCTAGGTTTGTACCCCAAACAATGGAAAACATGCGTTGTAATAAATGTACCTCACTGTTCACAGCAGCACTATCACAATAGCTAAAAGGTGGAAACATCCCAAATGTCCATCAGCGAATAGATGCACAAAATGTTTTCTATTCATATAATGGGATATTATTTAGCCATAACAATGGAGAGAAACATTGATTCCTGCTACAACATGGAGGAACTTCATGAATATTAAGCTTTGTGAACAAAGCCGGCCACCAAACTTGACATATTGTACAGTTCCATTCACAGGAGAGGAAAATCCACAGAGATATATTGCAGACTGATGACTTCCAGGCACTACAGGGAGGCAGCAATGATGAGTGATTGCAAGATTGCAAACAAGACTGGGGATGTCTTTGGGAGACTTAGCTCTGAAATTGAATACAGGCAACAGGTGCACTAACTGTAAATGTTTGGTTGGTTTGTTTTTTTGTTTGTTTGTTTTTTAAGACAGGGTCTCCTTATAGCCCCAGCTGGTCTGGAACTTACTATGTAGACCAGGCTGGCCTCCATCTCAGAGATCTTCCTGCCTCTGCCTCCGTCTTCCAGGTGCTGGGATTGATGGCATTTGCCACCATGCCTGGCTAAAAATCATCAGACTTTTATCAAAGTAAGCTGGAGGAGTTGGGTTAATGATACGCACCTGTATTCCCAACACTAGGTAGGCTGGGGCAAGAGGAGTGCAAATTCAGAGGCGAGCCTGTACTACACAGCAAGACTATCTACAAAAAAATTAACAAGAGAATAAATAAAACATTTCTGCTTTCCCTCACAGTGATTCCCTCTGTCATTGTTCTTTTCTTCCTGTGGAGTGACCGTGACTCTGGTACATAGCACTGGCTAGGGGTGGTCAGGGTAAGAAAGAAGACCCTTCTCCACAATCTAAGACACCACTGAGGGGGACAGAAAGGCGATGGCTATAGAATGGACCAGTACACACATGGTGGCGTAGAACTGCGGGTATGACGTGTGTGTGTGTGTGTGTGTGTGTGTGTGTGTGTGTGTGTGTTTGCATAAGGCATTTGAGATCTGCAGAGCCGTGTCACGTTGTGTATGGCTGTGGGACAGTGCACGTGGGTACGCGCAGACAGGCTGAGCCCCTCAAACTCGACAGGGTGCTGGGCGGGCTCCGCCGGTGAAGGGCGTCCCCTGGCGGCCGTACTCACGGACTGCTCATCATCTCCACGGGCCGTTCACAGGAGATGCACTTCACCCGTTCAAACAGTTTCCTAGAGGACAAGGCGGTCAGCAGAGGGGCAGTGGGTCTGGGGGTGGGATAGGGGCGGCTGGGAGACTACTCGGACTCCTCTGTCCGGTCTACGGTCCCAGGACAGAGAGGGGTCAGAAGGCTGTGGTTTCCCTCGCGATACAGAGATGCAGACTACGGACGGTATTCCACATCCGGTCCTCCACAAGCCAAGCCACCCTTGGAGTAAGGAGGCATGGGGGGGGCGAACGGGGGAGGGGGCTGGGGCCGGGGTGGGGAACATGATACTTGAGGGGGGGTCTCTGCCTGAGGACGGGATCATAAGCTGGAAGCCGGGGTGGGGAGGGCTGTCTGAGCTCTCTGCTGCATCGCCCCTGCTCACCCCTATCCCCCTGACCAAGGTCTGGAATCCCTGTTACCCTGTTGGCAGCAGCACCCGCATCCCCACACCTCAGTGTACTTACTTCCTAAAGCCCGCTGCGCTGTCAGGATCAAACCGCAGGCCCTTTAGCTGAAGCTTCCTGACTGCCTTCCAGACCTCTTCCACATCCTTCTTCAGGCCAAGCAGATCACTGTGAACTAGCTGCCAAGCAGAGGGAAGAAAACAGTCTAATCAGTTAACTCACCCCAGCAACCTGCAGGGTCACACAAAGAATAAGATGAAACAAAGACTGAGAGATCCCTACCCTCATGGATGCTACTGGTAGAAGGGAATTGTGAACTTCCCAGCAGCCAAAGCAAGAAATGTCATCAGCTCTTGCCTCCAAACCTATTGCTCAACTGCAGGGCTGGAGGCTGGAAAAACATTCTCTCTGTGATCCCCATGCTGCTGGCATTCACACATTTAACATGTATGTATGGGGGTGGGGGTTGCATATAAAGCAGACGATTCAATTGCTTTTAGTATATTCACAAAGTTGGGCAGCCATCACAATCAAATTGTTCTTTTGAGACAGGGTCTCACAATGTAGCTGAGTCTGGCCTCAAACCCACAATCTTCCTGCTTCAGCCTCCCAAGGGGCTGGAATTACAGCTTTGCACCATCACACCTAGCTTCACAATCTATTTTAGAAGACTTGCATCACTCCCCAAAGAAATCCCATTCCCATTATGTCACTCCCATTTTCTCCCCAATCCCCAGCCTCAGGCAACCAAT